TACATTTGGTCAATACCTGCGGCGCTGCCCCCTACCTTTGATAATACGTTACTGCAAAGGTTGGCCAGATGTCACCCTGGCAACAGGAACGGCTCTATCGCAAGTACAGGACTGGAAAGTTAGCGACGGAACTAAGCTGCTCGGATCACCGTTACATAACCTTCACAATCAACTGTGACAACCAACATCTGTATTTTAAAGCCGCTTTAAGTTACCAAAAGCCAAAATCCGTCCTCTGAACAGCAGCCTTCTCAACTTTATTAACAGCAGAACAGGAGACACTAGAAGCCTACAACGGCAAAGACGAGAATGGAAGAATTTACAGATTACATCTTCTGGAATAATATTAAGACCATCTGCTCAAATTTGCTTCCAACGCGAGCTGCCAAGAAAATGGCACAGCATTTCATGGTGGAGTAAAGAACTCAGGGCAACAGCGTCAGAAATGTCGTGCTCTAAGGCGCAGAATAAGAACAGCAACCGACGAGGACACAAAAATGCACTACCTTTCAATTTTCCGTAAGGAAAGGGCATCATACAAAAAGAACATCCTCGCAGCAAAGATAACAAGTTGGAGAACTTTTTGCACGCAGAATAAACAATCCATACAGCGTCCTCCATAAATTGTCGACTAATAAAATCTACCAGCCATCACAGATCTTCGCCCACCCCTCTCTTACAACAGACATCGCAGGAGCCACAGCTGCCACCTACTTAGACGCACTGTTTCCCGAATGATGATCCAACACAGGACACAACAGAGCAAAGGGAGATACGTTGCAGGACTCAACACCTCCAGCAACTCCAGCCGACGAGCCCTTCAGTGACTCAGAAATCAGACAGATCTACCGCCATCTCCCTCTCAAAAAAGGCACCGGGAACCCGATGGGCATTGATTATAACATCCTTAGAATAGCCTACAAGGCAAGACCACCCTTCTTTACTAAATTCTTCAATCAGCTCTTGCACCATCGAGTTTTCCCTCGGCGTCTTTAAAGAGGGACAAGTCGTCCTCTTCTTAAAAAAGAATAAAGATGCAGAAAATCCGCGCTCCTTCAGGCCAATATGCCTTCTATCCTCCCTAGGGAAAGATATATGAGAAGTTAATAGTCAATAGAACTCAGATTTCACCTTCATCGCAGCCGCTATCTCAGTAATAGACCAATTCGGCTTTAGAGTTGGACAATCCACCACTCCATGCTCTGCACGCTATCTTGGAGGAAATACAAAGGAATAGATCAGGCAACCTGCACACCGCCTTCATCTCGCTGGACCTCCAGAGTGCCTTTGATACACTCTGGTGGCCAGCAATCAAGCAGGCACTCAGGAAAGCGCAATGCCCCATCAATCTCTACAGCGTCCTCTGCCACTACCTGCAGGACAGAAGTCTACTAATAACTCATAACAACGGAGTTACTACTAAACACCAAGAAAGGGGCTGTCCGCAAGGCTCGTGTGCAGGACCGATTCTTTGGACGATTACTTTCAACGCCATCCTGGAGGCCACATGGCCAAGACATACGTCCATCGTCGCCTACGCTGACGATGCCGCACTGTTAGTACAAGGAAGAACCCGCGACGAGCTTGAGAAGAATGGCACCGAGTCTTGTGCACTCTTTGCAGAACTCTGCGGCAAACTTAAACTTCAACTATCTGCTGAAAAGTCCTGTGCCCTGATCATACCGAAGCAAAGAGCCAACCTGAGACGCAAACCATTGCATCAAGTTAATGCAGAGGAACATTAAAATCAATAACACCTTGAAGTACCTTGGCCTTCTGTGGGACAACAAATTAACATGGATCCCCCACCTCCAAAGTATTATTAAAGAGCGAACTTCCGAAATAGCAAGAAAAGCCCGCCTATTTCAGGGGCGAAACTGGGGTCAAAATCCCCACATACAGAAAATTCTTTATCTCACAATCTCAGAGAAAATAGCCCTTTACGCTTCAAGCAATATGGGCCAATCCGATGAGTGGTAGAAAAGTCAAACAGCTGGGAATTATACAACGACCTTACGCCTTACTCTTGTGTAAGGCCTACAGAACAACGGCCACTAGTGCAGCAGTGGTATTATCTGGTCTAATGCCACTGCACATACGCGCAGAAACTGAAGCTGCTTACGCTACTGTTATCCATTTAAAGAAGGAAGGAGCTACCTTCTGCGGAAACACTTATAGTCCAGTTCAGTATGAGCATCCAAGGAATACCCTGGAGACGCACCCTGCGCACAAAGGAAGAAATATAAGGATTCACGTCAGCAGAAGTGGCGAGCAAATTACAATACAGGATCCACGGTACCCCATGCAGTACTAGTATACAGATGGATCCAAGCTCGACGAGGGTACAGGTAGTGCCTTCGTCCTGTACCACGGAGGATGCAAGGAAATCGAGTGGAAGGGGCATCTTCAACCAATAAACAGTACATTCCAGGCTGAAGTCATAGCCATTACCACTGCGATTCAGCATGCAATTGACAGCGGGATCACCGATGCAATGCTGTTTACAGATAGCATGTCAACGCTATTCGCCCTAGTCAACCATAACCACACCTCCCCATTGGTAGCGGACCTCCAGAATATTCTACAATCACATCCTCAACTAATTGTAAATTTAATATGGACTAAGGCACACGTTAACAACGAGGGTAACGAGACAGCTGACCAACTGGCAAAGGAGGCAGCAAGCAACATAGCTGCACAGATGGTAACTATTCCAGCGCCACCCTCGTATCTCAAGAGAACTCTTAAGGAAAAAGGTCTGCAGAAGTGGCAAGCTGAATGGGAGACCTGTGATACGGGTCGCAGAAGTACCAATTTATTTCTGCCTAGAGTGAAAATGGAGCGCCAATACTCCATACCTCCCATCACTAATTACATCTCGGGGCACGGGCCCTTTCCCACCTATTTTGAGCGATTTGGTATCTCTCATACAGGCTTGTGCGTCTGTGGGTCGCTCGGAACTCCAGACCATTACATCTTTGAATGCCCGCTCACGGAGGATAATCACCTCCACTTGCCAGCAGACAACCAAATAGCCTTCAAACGATTCATCGTTAATAACAAAGGCACAGTGAATACCATCTGCAGAATAATCAGCCAGATAACCGCCCTGGGGCAAGACCTATGCCAACCCCACTAATTCAGGGTCTTAAGTGAATGTAAGTACTCCTCTGCATCTAAGGAAATACAGTATCTTCCTTCTGCTAAGCGCATGTACCTTCTTTATTAATAGTATTTATGTGTCATGTCATGTATGTGTTATGTTAATATTTTTTTTTTAAATGTGTAACCAGTATGTTATGTAACGTATACCTTGCAAACCTAAATCTGTAATACAATATAAATAGCCAATGTATCTCTCATCTGCCCCTGTATGGCAATGTAATAAATCTTTTAAGATCTCAATAAACCTCCGGTAGATAGGGGAGGGCGCGGGACATATGCCTGTTTACCTCTGTTAAACACCAGGCGTCCCCGTCCTCTGTCACCTGTCACCTGTCTATACTACAATCTACCTATCTTCTGCAGGCGTCATACTGCCAGCTCGACCTCCCTCGTGATGTTTGCTACACGTTCCATTTGCTTGAAATTATTTCCAAAGCCTTAAAACAACAACACTGTGGCTGACGTCGAACTCCCTAGAACCATCTTTTATTTTTGGCCCTTCTTCAATCTTGCCAATGATACGGGTGAATGTGAAATCATCTAAATGCTGTCGGGAAGACATACCTAAAATTTCAAGTTTGTCAATTGATTCTTTCCCGTTAAATTTTGATTTTGAAAGACAAAGGTGAATACCCGTCAAATCCTTTATCTCTTTTATCGGAGCATCAAGTGACGAACAACTTTTGGAATCTAAAATTTGCATACGCAAAACACGTCTTACTGAATTCCGCAGTTATCCTAATTTCCAAATTTACCTTCCTGTGGTTGCTATTGCTGCTGCTGTCGTCATTTCTTAGCCCGGTGTATTAAGATATATCCAGTTTCTTTAAATTGTTCAGTTTAACGTATTGATAAAGAAGTAAGTTTAAAATATGAAAGACGCTCTCAAAGTTTGTGCCAGAGAGGATGGCTGCAATTTCAGAACCAACTGTTTACTAGATGGGTTAGTTGAGTAATGCATTGTATCACAGCATTGTATGAAATGAAACATAAAAAAACCTTTTCACTCTCTTCATATCAGTTTCTTAAGTGTCTCATTATTATAATACACAACAATGAATAACAACAATGAATAGCATATATGACTGCTTTTTTCTTTCGAAAGGCAAAAACTTTTATGGGTTTTTGTTTTCTTTTTCACTTTTTGTTATCCGTACAGTAGCATTGAAAATAAAATGAAATGAGGCAAAACTTTTGCATTTTAATGGACGTCTACCTCTTTAAATGTGTGTTCCTATTATTTGATAACTAACTATCCAAATGAAATCAAAATTAATTTCATTTCCTTATTAATAAAAAGCAATGAAATTTTTCTGAAATACCGAGCAGTGTAATTTTTAGTGTTATTTTTGAGAGTTTAGATTTGTGAGAATATTCTCATGAATACACTCACTGCCAGTGAACCAACAGTCATTTTTAACTCCCATTGTATGTTTTCAAATAGAGATATTTTATTTATTTTTTTAAATGAAACATTGGAATTGATTTCTTGAATTTTTTAATTTCGTATAATATGCGTCTAATAGTAAAATGAAATATTATGCGTTAAACGTAAAGCTACTTTAATGAAATTTATATTTAGAATTTACATGTGGAACTTTCTTTAAAAAAGCTAAGATACTTTTAAATTTAAAATTAAATGACAGTTTTAGTAGTAAAAATGAAAGCGAATATCCAAGTTGACCTCTTTGTTAGTCTTAAATTTCCACTATCTTTTGCTTTATGTTTATGAACTTTATTTGTCGAAGGAGGGATTTTCCAGTCGGTGACTGAGTAAACAAAACGTGAAGTTGGAAACTAGTTGCTACTTACCACGCCTGTTATGGTAAGGACGATTTGATGAGATTTAGCCTTGAATGTGAACTATTTTCTTTCTTTTTATTACAATTCTTTAACTATAAAAGCGAGGGAAAATAGACCACAAATAATTCCTCATTGTTTACAGAGAGAAAGAAGCTTTCAACATGCATTACTTGGTAAGTATTTGCCTTCTTTCCTTAAAAATGATTAAATAATTAATAATTTAATAATTAACAATTTAAAACATTAGCTACTTGTAGAAGAGATCCTCTTTTAAACTGATATTAGAAATTTAAAATGGATTAGTAATATAATAAGAACAACGCAGAAGGTTTCCAGAAAATTTCATTTTGCTTCATTTAAAAGCAATAATAATGAAAGTAAGTGTAACTTAATGATATTGATAAAATTGTAAGACTGTCTTATAAAAGCGTACAACTTTATTGCGTGAAATCGAACTATCAGGCATTTATGTTGTTTATGTTGCATCAATGCTAAACTAAAATTGCTATAACTAAAATATCTTTTTAGAAACTAATCTAAACAAACGATTACGATTGAGACGAAATTCTCAAATTATCCATAAAACGCTTATTACTTTGTAAAAGATTCGCAGTATAGGAATGAGCAGAATATCTTTTTGTGTTATTTGGCTCAAATGTTCTTTTAGAATTCAGTAAAAAGCGAAAATTAATTTCATTTAATTTCGTCATCTTTTTGTTTTAAGGCTGCGTTTAATATTATGAACTCTATCGTCGCGAACACCTTCCGCAGACTACCTCCTCTAAATCTGCCCAATAATTTTAGAACATATAACGAAGTATTAGCTGTGAACATTAACTCTCTAAGGCGGTCACTTCCACAGATGATCAAAATTATTTGCAATTATAGGAAATAGTATAAATCGTCTTAGAGAGGGTTCACTATAGTTTAGTTTACAAAGATATTCAGTTATTATTCAAAAGAGCTGCTTTCAGATAAGGTTGAAACCCTAAACTTATTATTACTGCTTAAATTATTATTCTTGATCTCAGACACACTTTTCTTATTTTTCAATAAAAAAAATCTTAATTATAAATTATATTTGTATTAGCTATATTATTTAATTCATTTAAAATTTGACGATAATATATAGAACTAACTATTTAGCTATCTTTAAAGAAATATTTAATTAAATCTTTAATTTAAGCTATTAATAATAAATACTCACATGATAATAACCTGTAACATTTCGTATCATTTACATTTTAATGTTTTGAAATTTATTATAGCGTTACATTTTCTTTATGTTTCAGTTTGCTATTCTTGTTTTGGTTGCTTTGATGGCCGTTGCTTTTGCTCAGTGGCCGTACTACACTACTTACTATAATACTCCTGCCTTTGGTTATCCTTATGCCTACAACTACGGTGTTTACAACCCAGCTGTTAACTACTGGTGGAAGAAATAGACGTAAGTTTATTTATATCCCATACATTTTTCATTCAATAGGGGCAAAACGAATTAAAAAAATTATTATATGTACGTGACAAATTGATGTGTCAAATGTAAAATCTGCGTGTATCATGATACATATGGATGTTTTAATAATATGTAATCATAGCAAAACGCACTTTTACTTCTAAATTTAAATTAATGAGTATGGATATTTAAAAATAGTTTACTCACGTAAAGTAATTTTTAATTTTTATAGCATTTTACTTAATTTACTGTAAAAGGATTGTTAATTTTTTGAAATCATTAAAAATACTCAAACAAAGGTTTTTAAAACTCTGATGCATAACTATTTCACCTCTATTAACGATTATTGTCTTAAGTTTTCTTTAATTTCGATTTAAACAGACAGCCAGAGTTTTCCCATTTTAATGAAAATATATTTTAGTGTACTCTTAATTTACTTTATCACTTTTAAAATGCGTTTTCTTAACACAAGTTAATTTCATGCGCTTATACATGAGTACTTTAGTTCTATGTGTTGTAGGAATAGCAGTAAGAACTATTTATTGCAGTTTTGGTAGCATAGTTTTACTTAAGATACGAGCTAAATTCTTCAGTTTAAAAATGTAATTCTGTTTCTCGATTTCTATGATTAGCATGTAAATAAATTTAATAACTAATTATTGAAGAATCTTTTCAATTCTTAATAACTCGATCTAAAAGATGTTTTATTCATTTTCATACCTTTTTGCATTATTTCTGTTTTAAAACTGCTTCCCAACTATGTTTTGAAAGACAAAAATATTCAAATTGCTTGTGCAACAGTTTTTCTATTTCTTCTTATTAACTAGTAAATGGTTCAACAGCGGCTTCTTCTGTGGAAAATCGTATGAAATATTCAAATAGTGAACTAGAATGATAATAAAACATGTTCCTTCCTATGCCTTTAAAGAGGTAGGGGTGCAATTCTTAGGCTAGATAAAAGCTTTTCTTACGTAATTTGAACTGTAAGTATGACCGAATTCTTAAGAAGTGTAAATGTGTATTTTCAGAATACTTTTAATTAGACTAGAAGAGAAGCACGCTAATGTGACAATCAAAATCGTAAAAACAACCTTGTATTTAGCGTAAGTATAATGAAACACTCAATCGATTTCGAGGGCAGCTAAAGGTCCCTCCTCATCAGGAGAAAGAAATACCTAGAAAGAAGAAAATAAAATAAAGGAGAAGGAGTCTCAGAAACACGTGGTCCTTATCAGCACTGCACGTGGTTATAACTGGATTTTTAATCAGAGTTGCACTGGCCGCCTACTTTTACTGAGCCAGGCTATCTGATCAAGCATAAAGGACAAGAAAAATTAGCGAAGTTAAAATAGGAAGCGAGGGGCAAATGCACCTTTACGCTCAAAATCTGAACTTCAAATAATGGCAACCACTGAACGAATTTTTATACCCTCTGGTAGTACCAAACGCGAGGATGTAATGCCATCTATCCGTAAAAATAACTGAATTAAGATAGCAGAATTTTAAAGGCATTAGGAAGGACTGGATTGGACTTCAAATCATTAACTAAACCTGCTAAATCTTTGTGAATGTGAAAAGCCTCAAGAAAATCCAATTCACCTATGGAAGAAGCCTTTTGGATAATTTTTGCAGACCCAAAATCAAAATTATGGTTAAATGTCCAACTATGATACGCTATTGAAGACTTGTTAATTTCGCCTTTTCTGACATAAGATTCATGTTCCTTGATACGAAACTTCAACCCTCTTTTTGTTTGGCCAATATATCTTAAACCACACTGACACGATATACTATAAATTCCCCAAGAATTCAAGAGACAAACGCAATCTTTTAGAATCGAAGGGTGAATTTTATTAATAGGGGAGAAACCGACGTGAAAATATCAAGGGCCTAAAGTATGGCCGAGCTTAATAATAGCTTACGAAAGAGTAGCCTAAAAAGGCGGACGCGTGCAGCCAGAATATCCCGTATCTCTCTCTCCAAGACTGTAGAACTTCGCGGTTAAATACCGCTCTTCCTTATTAGCATTCAGACGTGATTCTAAAACTACGTTCTGGCCGGAAGTGGTAAGCTGAAATTAAGAATCGATAGGAAAGAAAGTTTAACTCAAAATTTAACTGTTAATAAAATTAACATAATCTTTACAACGTATTCTATAATAGCGGAAAACAAAATAAGTACGCCTTACCAGTCAGTATATTAATTCTTTTCAATAATAATATCGTTCACTGAAAAGCTGTTGAGTTAATGATGCATAATTGAAATGTTTCACATTTATAATAAGTAAATTTAATAACTCATTATTTCTTACTTAAGCTTCTATATTTCCTTATAGGTAGGCTCTTGAATATCATATTTTTGGGAAATACTTTTTATAATATATGTACTTCATACTATATTTGTAAGTTTTTAAACAATTCTTTATTCCTTTGCAGGAAATAATCAAGGAGTTACCGCACGCTAACGTTGATGGATCAATGGAAAATGGAATAACCGAAGTGCTGATCCTGTGCTCCTTTCTTAAATTTTCGGATCTCTTTCTTCTAAAAAAATAATAAATTTAAAAAAGAAAAGTTGTGTTGCGTCTTTTTTTTCTCTCATTTTTCGCAAATTCTTCTGAAAAATACCAAGTTTTAGCCAAAAAAATTTTAAAGAAACAAAAATGTCATTTTAAATGTAACTGTTATTTATTATAATTTATTGTTTATTGTTATTTATACCTTTGGTAATTTCTCAGATAATCTTCAAATCATTTTCACACACACACATACATACAAAAAAAAGTGCAAGCAAATGAAACCTATTAAAACACACATTTCTACTGAAAGCAGTGAAATAGTCACTACAAAAAAGTAAAACGAAACAAATATATTTTAATGAATAACGTAGATGCTACGTATCGTAAAGTTATTTATAAATAAAATCTGAAAGGTTTCAGATTTTAAATTACGTCCAAAGGGGCGATTTTTGTGTCCTACCTTTATTTATTAAATATCATTTTCTACGTCCTCAAACCATAAAATTAAGTTTACCAGTAATATCGCAAAATATTTTTAAAATATTATTATTAGATTCCCGATACAGTTTCGCGCGTTGGAGATAAAAGTGTTTTTTTTTCGCCCAGCGTTGCCATTGCTCGCTTTGAAATCGTTTAGTTTGTTAATCAAAAATTCGCTGAAGAGTTATAAAATATGAAATCGATAATAAAACAAATTTCAAATTCAAATTAGGACTTCCACATGCCCGTATTCTATGGAAGATTACGTTATTCAAATTTTGATGGCTCTAGGTATTGTTTAATCACAATACGAGAAAGATATATACAGTCATGCAGATTCTTCTTCATTATTTAGTTTCTTTAAATATAATACAGGGCGATAATATTTGGTGGCAACAATTTGAAAAGTGAAAAACGCTTACCGTGAATCGACGTAAAATGCCGAAACGAAAGTAATAGTCCTTCTGGGCAAATTGGCCGTTTGGACTAATTATAAAGTTTTTCATTTTTAAGTTGTGCAGAGAGGATTTGCAATAAGTTTTAACGATTTTGCATTCAGTGTGTTTAATAATGAAATTTTGACTGAGAAGATATTAGCTATGTTACACTGATCATTCTAAATATGATTCTGTATTTTCTCGCACGTTTCATCTGACAAGTATATAACAATAATATGAATATTATAAGAATCACTTAAGACTTTCATTTTTAAGAGCTAATAAAATTGATCGAAAGAATCGCATCTTTTCTTCCCTCTCTTTTCTTATTATACAATACCAACATTGATGTAATTAATGGTGCATTTAAGTACCGATTGGGAGATTTAAATTTTATATCTAACAACAAGTTTAATTACCATTTTACTAAAATATTACAGAATATTTAAATTTTTGTTTGTTAAAACAGGTCAAATTTTGAAATGCATTGCAAAAATATATAAAATTACATTTTAATGTTCTTCCACATTTAGAAATATGCCAATTTTTTATCAATGGCTCACAGCGAATTATTTCGGTTCATCATTTTGGTTTAGAGATCTTAGAAGTTTACAGACTGAGCTGACGAGGTTAGAAGGGTGTTTGAAAATTTGAAATATAAGAATGATCTCGAAATCATTTCATTATTCTCTTATTGTACTTCCCTTATTACTCTTTTTTATATCCCGGATTATATAAGATATTCTTTACTTATAATTTTTGAAAATCTAGAAGAAAGAATATTTTTATTCTTCTCAAACTAAAGAAAACTTTATGCTAGGACCTTCTGGGTCAAGGAACCAGTGTACAGAAACATAAACGTCAATAGTCTGAATATAAGACCCGAGAATGAAATGATAAAACACATAACTACCAACCTACCTTCTCATTTTTGTTTTATAACAGTAGAGACGTCCCTAGATATTTATTACAATTAAATCAATATTGCACAATTATTTATGTAAATGTATTGAATAACTACCAAACACACTCTAAAGGGAAATAATTACCAGAGAGAAAAACTGGTTGAATTAAATCCCATGCCATTCAAAATATAATGAGAAAATTATCCTAGAATTATCCTTGAGTTATTCTAGAATTGTTCTTGCACTATCATCCATGAGAAAAGGTAAGCAACAAAGGTTTCAGTTTTGAAGTTTGGTTAAGAACTTATGCAGCTTAGAAGACTGTGAATTAAATGAAAAAGTATTCCTACTTGCAATAAGTTGTTATTGGATTTCAGGTATAGTTAAATTCTTTGGTTTTAAGAAAAACCATGAAAGAAAGAACTCGAAGAGTTATAATCGGGTTTTTCGAAGAAATATGAAATACGTTCGTTGAAACGCTATAAATATTATATTTATTTATTTCAACGAAGCATTCGTATGTGATGCATAAACTATGTATGGATGTGTGTATATGTGATGATGATGGTTATGTGTATACGCTTATGTGATATATAAATGTATAATGAGAAAATCATTTTGAAATTCTCTATTCTATCTTATATTCATTATGAAGGCCAAGGAAGTTCGACATTTCATATAATAACAATATTATCTCAAATAAACTTTGCACAAATTTTATCATATCCTACATATATAATATTTGAATAACTATTCATTAAAATAGGGATTAAAGTAATTTTCAAAACAAGGTTTCAAAACAGGTTTTTTTATCAAATATGCTGCACCACATGGAAATTTCTGCTGTGTTGCACGAATTTTTATTGCACCAATTCTAATGAATTTCATTATTATAGTAAAACATACTGATGTTCTCTTCCTAAGAAATGTTATGTGTCTTTATGGAAGGCCTTTCTGAAGGAGACTAAACAGCGTTATGTTACACAAGGGGAACACCACGCGAACATCTCTCTTTTATCTCTTATTGTCACAGAGAACACACAAAAAACGCAATGATAATAAAATGTTAATGTTGAACATTTTCGCGGATTGTTAAAAAGTGTTATCACTTGAAATGCATTACTGAAAACTCTAGATACAGCGTCACACAAAAGGAACGAAACACTTGTGATTTTGAAAAACAATGGCAAAAGTTTTATGTATGCTTCCAAAAATATTGAGTTTAAAATTTCATATTTTCCATTTTAAGCTGAAAATGATGTCACAAAAGTTATAGGTACTTAGTATTCTGTAAAATTACAACTGAAAAATATTTTGAAACTCTTCTAATATTTTGTTGGTTTACTATTAACTTTCAAACGCATAGCTTAACATTTTTTGGCCTGGATTTTATTATTTATTACTTTTCTGTTATTATTTCTTAAGAAATTTTCTTCTTCATATTTCCCATTTCTGATTTCAGTAGTTACTTTGAAGAAATACTTTCGTTTGGAATTTCATGTTTCATTTCTTGTCAGATTATTATTTGACAAGGTTTAAATCTGGATACTAAAGAACAGTTTGAATCTTTCAAGAACATCACTCAGAAACCAGAGTCACGCATTCATAACGGTACATTCAATGTCCAAGTAAAAGCTGTAATCATTTTTCAGGCTAAAGTTTTGATTTTGATTTCAAATTTCCTTTTTAAATGTTGATATATTGACTCGTTATAAAATTAATAAATTTCAGATCATGAAAAATAAAACCTCATAAAATTAATCATAATCCTCTCATAAAATTATGAGGGTAAATTGTGCCCTTCTGTATCACGATTCCTCCCTCATAATTTTTTATTAGTGCAACTAACTACAGTTTTCGAAATCCATGTATGGTCTCTTCGCCCAAAAATGGTAAAAAAAGATATTAAATTAGAAATGTTACCTTGTTTCAATGTTTAAAACAAGCATTTACTTTTCATAAATTCTGAGAAAGAATGCTGAAGATTTTGAAGAGGCAGAAATTTTAGCTTGGTACCCGATCATTATATCTAATACATCGGATTTCTATTTTAATAGTCTATCGATTTCACATTCATATTTAGAACCCATGTCTTTGATTATTTTATATAATATAATGCAGTAGTCCACAGTACACTTTATATAATCTCCAAAGTCTTCCTTTTACTTTGAGTTCTGTCATCTTTTGAATATTTCATTGAGTCACAGACTAATAAATTCTTTAAATGATTCACTTCAGCAACTTCAGTAATTTGCTTTAAATGAATTCACTTCAACAACTTCAAGAATTAATTAACTTTAACAACTTACCTTTCTTTAAAAGCTATAATCATAAAATGTTCAAATAATGTAAATTCTAGGATAACTATGATTTTTTATGTATTTTCTATAATGTACGAGTAATTTATGCAAAACTATGTTATTAATTCACACATTACTCATTTATCACACATCATTTTAACTTCAGTTTGAGTAGCATCCTTTTACTTTTGTGGCAAAAGTTTCCTGTTCTAAAGACAAAATATTAATTTTTGAGCTTGATATTGGAATAGTTAGTGTAAAGTAAAGAACAGTTGAAAGATTGCTTTAAAGAAAGTCACGTTTCATTAAAACTTAAACTAAACATTAAAACTCGAGACATAATTTTTGAATATCACAAATGTTCCACCACTCTTGTGAAACGTTGTAGTTCTATAATTCCTAAAAATCGTGTTATTTGTACTACTGTATGTCTAACTGTCTCTTTTATTTTCTTGAAATTAACAAAATGTCAGATTTTCCCCTTATTAAAACAGAATTTGTATTTATGTCTAACATGTTTAATTGACAGTTATGTCTTATCTATTTATTAAAGCATAAAGTTCTTTTTCAATTATAATTGAACACTTTCTGTGTAGACATTAGTGCGATTTAACTAATCTCGGAGATATTATATTATATTTTCTTCAGATTTACTTGGTGAATAAAATTTTAGTTCTTATTTTTCAACTGGAAAAAAGTAAAACATCATTTTTATATTACTGTTTTATTTCTAAAAGTAAAAATAGGAACACAGCAAACGGATGTGGTAAGTTAAAAAATTAGATCAATTTTATTGCAATCATCTTTCATTTTAATTGGTTTCGCTTTTCATTCCTCTTTCGTTACAATCGTCAGCTACTACAGCCCAGGAAATTGCTGATATTTTACCTATAGAGAAAAGAAAATTTTATAAAGTTACTTATGAAAATATGCTGGAAACAAAACAATGTTTTCAATTAGATATTACAAATATTACCTCAAAAATGCTTGAAAACTATTTTTAAATAAATATTGACTAATATGTTCAAATGATTAGTTTTTCATTAATACAATACATCATTTCTGTTTAAAAAACTAAAACAATTTCTATTTGAGCTTCGTAAGAACTGAAAAAATAGCTCTTCTTATGGTAAGTGAATTAATTTTTAAACAAAAAGAGTGTATTTCTAATAATTCAAATTCTGGAGCTACCATACATACATTCGGTATTCAAATGATCATTAACTGCCCATTACCCCATAGGAGACGGAAAATGATATCTGTTATATTTCATTCAGTTCTGGTATACTTATAGCTACTGGATATTTAAAATTGTGTATTAACCAATAATTATTCCCAGTTATGCCGAAGTATAGGAACATAGAACATTGAAATAGGTTAGAGAATGAAATATAACATTAAAAGGCAAAATGAATGATTTTACTGCATTAGTCTAACAGTCCCATTAAAAAAAGAATTGCAAACCTAGGCTATTAGTGAATCATTCTGTTTAAAAGAAAAGTTTAATAACTATATTTCAAAACGCAATTTGAAATCTGAGAATTTTTACACATAGGCTTTATGCTCTAAAATTTAGCACTTTATAAGGTATTTCTCCCGCCTTCTTAGCATGCCTTCGTGGTGTAGTGGTGGACACACTCGGCGCATGTTCGAGAGCTCCGTGGTTCGAGCCCCGGCGAAGGCATTGCTCATTTCTTATCTTTTCTGCTTTCAAAAAGTACCTAATGTCTCTACAGTGGCACTCGAACTAAAAAAGGTGGTGGAGGATGATTCTTCACCACCAGGATTTGGCGATTGCATCCCCTAACAACCAGTCGCCCTTTAAAAGTGGGAGTATATAAGGTATTTCTCCCGCCTCATTAGTATGTCTTCGGGGAGAGGTCAGCACACTTTCGGCGCGTATTCGAGAGGTCTGTGGTTCGAGTCCCGATGAGGGCATTGCTCATTTTTCATCTCTCCTGCTTTCGAAATAACCTAATGTCTCTACAACTTGATGAACCAATACGTTTTTAACACAGAAATTTTATGCTAGTTACTAAAGTACGGCAAATCGTATCCCTTATAAAGTTCATAGCTCTTAAGAAAAATTATTTCCTTGAAGAACCAGGGCAATATTAAAAAAACTCATAGACATGCAGTGCTCTGAAGTCTTTATCTACACAACTATGTCAAGAAAACAATATATTTGCTAAATTATGGGCCCCTGTGCTATCGAGGGTCTGTTGCAGTGCCAAGAGTACCCATATATAAAGGCAATGCTGGGAAGGTTGATTTTTATTTTTCAAACACTATTTAAACAAAAAAAAGATGACTAAAGAAAGATTACTTACGTTCATTTCTTTCAGAAGTAGGTCAAAGCGGGGTTGTAGACGCCATAGTTATAGGCATAAGGATAGGCAAGAGCAGGAGTGTTATAATAAGAACCATAATAAGGCCACTGGGCGAAGGCCACTGCCATCAGGGCAACCAACACAAGGATAGCAAACTAGAAAATAAGGGAAAAAGTACTAGTATATCACTATTAAAAAGATAAAAGGCTGCATTTCCAAATGTACTACGTTTTAGTTAAAAAAGGCACAGTTGCGAAGACTAAAGTGACTTAATTTTTTTACACTTCGATATTTGCCTGCACTGGAGATTTTTCATCATTCAGACATGTATGTTTCATCAGTACCTAGCAAATTACTTTAATTCCTCAGAACTATTCCTTTTATTCATTTAAAAATTATTTTCTCCCTTCTTTCTGGGCCTTCGGAGCGCATCTGACGCGTAATCGGGGGATCGAGAGTTCGAATCTCATCGAGGGCACTGCACCCTTTTTCCTGTACCTCCATCGATATACCGTAATGACATTACAACTGGAGTTCGAACTAAAAAGGTGGTGGAAGATACGGTTCATCACCACCAGGATTTGGCAATTGTGTCCTCTAATCCCCAGAGGGAGTAGAAAGAGGTAGTATATATTTTCTTCCTACTTTCCGTGTGCCTTCGTGGTCTAACTGAAAGCACGTCTGATGCATAATCGGGAAGTCCAGAGTTCGAATCCAGGAGTGTATATTGCATATTTTTATATTCCTGCATCAATATAAACTGATGACTGAATGTAAAAACGCATTAATCGTAAAATGAAATTTCTAATTTCTTTTTCCTAAAAAATGCTCATTTATAAAATTATTCTGTTTATTTCACAATTTTTGAATTTGAAATGTAAAAATATGTACGACGTTAAAAAAATATAAGTTTCCGGAGCACTCATTCGTTGACTCTAAGCAATAAAAAGAGTCCAGAGAATTATTATTACGTCTAGAATGAATTTAGCCATTCGAATGATTGATTAAAATATTCATATAGTTTTTAATCCTGAGCTAATCATACACTTTGTTTTCAAAGTTTTGAATCCCACTGATGTACGCTAGGAATTTTGCAGAAATGTCTGAGTAAGGGCACATTTTTGTAACTTTTATTTAATTTAGCCGGTTAAAAAATTAATTAAAAAAATTTTCTTCTATCATTTTAATTTTAAAAATGAATTTTTTAATCTTTATACAATATCAAAGGAAGGAAAATCAACACTGTGTTTATTTTAAATATGTAACTCTTAGTTAAGTCGCACACAAGAACTAGTATTACTTCAAAAAAGATTTTCTACGATTGCGCTCATTAATACAATGTTCATTTGTTTATTTATTTTTAATAATTTATTTTTTATTTATTTACTAATAAATTTTCAATCATTTACTTACTTATTTATTTATCTTTAATAAATTTGTTTGCTTATTTTTATCTATTTTTTTAAGCTAATATTTTAAGTTACTGGAATTTTTATCCAGATTGACATCTATGGTTTTCTGTGCCTTTTATCATATCATTTTTCTGATAGACTGTAGGCTTTCAGGTGTGACGGTAGCACACTCGGCGCGTATTCGAGAGGTCCAAGTTTGAGTCCCGGGGAGCGCACTGCAAATTTCTTCAGTTTCCTGACATCGAAAATAAACTAATAAATCTAGAATTGCGCCCAAACTAAAAGGTGGTGGATGATGATTTTTCACCACCAGCGTTTGGTGACTGAATCCCCTAATCCCTCGTCGTCCATTAAAAGGGGGAATATGTAAGGTATCTCTCCCTCCTTCCAGCATGCCTTCGTGGTGTAATGGTTAACCCACTCGGCGCGTATTCGAGAGGTCCAGGTTCGAGTTCCGACTAGGGCAATGCTCATTTTTCGAGTCTCCTACTTCGCAATAACCTAATGTATCTGCATTGGCGCCCGAAATAAAAGGTGAGGGATGGCGATTTTTCACCACCAAGATTTGGCGACGGGGTTCACTAATCTTCACTAATTGGGTCCACTAATTCCCTTTTAAAGGTCGACCGCTTTAAAAGGGAAATATATAAAGTATTTTCTCCCTACTTTTCGCATGCCCTCGGGGTGTAACGGTAGTACACTCACCGCGTATTCGAGAGGTCCGAATTCGAGTCCTGGCGAGAGCTTTGCTTATTTTTCACGTCTCCAGAATCAAAATAGCCTAATGACTTTACAAATTTTTGACGAGATAACAAATAGACTAATTTTAAGAAATCTCAGTTAACTATCTTTTTCTCATTAAAAGCGGACTGAAATATAATTTCTAACTTTAAACGAAAAGGTAAATGATTTTCACATATGACATATATCCTCGTTTTACGTGGTAAGAGATCTTTCGTTAAAATTATGATGGTTTAGATATGTAAGAAAAGTCAACCGAGCTGAACATTAAAATTACTCAAATCTAACAAAAGTTAATTAAAAGAGTACTTAAATTTAGACTAAAGTTAGTATTCGTGGGCTTTCTGAACATTGGGGTGACGTTTTCACAGAGTTTTCGTATGAGAATTGGCTCATATTTACAGGAAACTAGCACCATTTTCAGCTAATATCCGATTTCCACTTTGGACATTCATAGGGTTTCAGTACTCTGCGGAAATTCCGATTAGTAGTTACACATGTGAAAAATACTAAATTTTGCTGTTTATTCTTTTCAAAATATGAGTCAAAATACAAATTCATTAACAGAGTTTACAGAACACAATATTTTATACGTATACATATGTCTTTGGAAATGTTTAAAGAAATGAATAGGATTTTACTCACCAGGTAATGCATGATGAAATTTAGCTTTCTTACTCTCTGTAGAAGACAAGAAAATATACTTTCTCATCTTCCGGAGACGCTCTTTTATAGTGGAAAAACGAAGGTAAACAAACAAATGGTATAAGAAAAGTAGTTCAACGTCAAGGCTAAATCCCTTTAAAATGTTGCAGTTCGTCTTAAAGAACGAGAGGGTGTGGTAGAAACAACTTTTCTTCTTACCTTTTTTATTTTCTTAAACCACAAATAATAAACAATAGCTTCTGCTTCTACTTATTTTAATCAGCTGATATGGGTACGTAGTCAAAATACGTCCACTTACGAATAAGTAGTTTCTTACCTATTTCTACAGCCTATGTAATACTTATATTCATTTTGACAATTATTTTTCATTTAAGATACTTTCAAGATACATTTTATTCAAAATATGTTAAAATTTTCCAAAATGCTTCGATTAGAGTTGAATAAATTTACATTCGAAATGAAAGAACCATTTAAGCACCAAATGAACATCGTGTTGTTAGCTTGTTAGCTAAATAGTTAGAAAACAGTACAAATACTTTTGTTACATTTAGAAAAACCTTTACACTTGTGATAAAAAATTAAACACGAAAAAAAAAAATCTGACATTAGTAAGGCAAAAATTGACTGAGATATTTTACATAGAAATCAGAAATTATATTCAGGAGGTAAATATAACAAAGCAGAACTTCAAACTGGAGTACAGCATATAACGTAGCATATTATCGCAAACCATTAATATATTTCGCATATCAAACATTCTCTTTCTACAACAAGATTCAGCAATCTAGCCATAACTTAAACTCATACGAAGTAATAAACTACATATCTATCTCCATGCAACGTTATTGCGGATACGATCTATACTGCGCCCACCAGCGGCCGAGCGGTTAAAGTCGCTGAACACTGGTAGTTCGGTCCGAGGTTCGAATCCCTCGAACGGGCTGGCTACATGGGCGTTTTCGTGGTTTTCCCGATGTGTAACGTGTATACGAGTCAGTTTTCCTTAGAAAGTCCTCCACGAAGGCATCCTTCCCTTTAGGAGATAGCCCTCGTGTACTTAGCCATAATTAAATAATCCAAATCAAATCGATCTATACTGCTAGCTTTATTGCGGGGTAACTTCACATACATTTAACGAGCTAAAATATTACCAACATCTCTCGCTATGAACCATTATTACATTTTGAGACGTTTTATTTGCTTTTGAATTATAACTAACAATGCAATAATTTTATCAAAAGTTTATTCTATACACCTTTTGATAAACTTCAACAGTCCCTAAACCAAAGTCGGTGCTTCATTGTCAGTGATATTAGCATTAAGATCACTGGCAATTATATTATATCTATGAAAACATAAAGAGGCTATGATAAGCTTGAGAGACTTATCCGGCAGATATTACAATTTCTTGCTTCCTGTCGTCGGGAAATAAATAGCTCGTACTTCAGCTGCATAAAGCAAAACTGCTTTTATTGAGAAAATACGTAGAGGTGGTATACATCACACATTTTTTCATATCGAAATTCGAATACAAAAATATCTTGAATCTCTCGAATCCTTCTCAAAAATTGTAACAAAGCTTCTAGTTAATATTAAAATTAAAGTAAAATTTGAAATCTGCACTTGATAAAAAAGCAATTATAAATAATTTAATATAAAAAAATCTGAAAGTTTTCATATTTTAATTACGTCCGTAAGTGGCGTTTTTTTAGGGTCCGTGACCCTTAGCCGACTACCACTTAGCCGATGGGACACTTAACCGACATCAGTTAGCCGACACGGACAATTAGCCGACACGGACACTTAGCCGACACGGACACTTAGCCGACAGGTCATTTAGCCGACACGGACACTTAGCCGACATTAAATTTAGCCGACACGGACAGTTAGCCGACAGGACATTTAGCCGACACGAACAGTTAGCCGACTGGACATTTAGACGACAAGGACACTTAGCCGACAGGACATTTGGCCGACACAGAGAGCTAGCAGTCAGGACATTTAGCTACGGGACACTTGACAGTCAAGACATTTAGCCAACAGGATAGTAAGCCGACAGTGACTTTTAACTAACATGTACCCAATAATTATTTAAACGTACTATCAATTACAAAATTTCTCGACTTCTCCATAAGTTCAATATTTAAGTTATTTTTACACCTATCAGTAAAATTCATTTTTCGATTCTTATAGAGCTCATATGTGCTTTTAATTTTTTTTAATTGTGTTAATTTAGCATTGTTTGATATGTATCGTGCTGTTTGGTATATATTGGCGAAACTGAAAAAGCGCTGAAATTTCTCGTCAGGGAATACGAATTAAATTTCGAAAGGAAAAAAGAATTTTTTTAGCTAAGTACGGCGGTCACTTAATTACGTTTGGGATATTCAAAAATTATCCGTAAAGCTTCTTCATTAAATCAACTGGGTTCTTTTGAACACTTTCACATCATTAATAATTTTTCTTGTTTACTTAACGATATTAATTTTCCAATCTCGCTCTTCCAAATGCTTTCAAATTTCTAATACCTTTACGTTTCATTACTATTTTAATCAGTACATCATGTTACATCCTTTTCTTTACAAAATCGTTTCGCTCCTCCCACAAATAAAATTTTCTTTTCCTGTCATGAAAAATCTAAATAAATGCAATAAAAATTGTTATTCTTGAATTATACTTTTTATAGAAACATATGGTGGTGAAGGATTAGTTTCGAAATATATATTATTTTGTTATTAGAAACAATTAAAAAAAGTGCATCAAGACAAGCAAAGGTATAAATTATTGACCTCTATAATGGGCTCTTCATGCCACCATCCTTGAGATAAAAATTCTGTAACATTTCATTGACCATGCCTCTCTCTTAAAATACTTAGGTTAATGTTTATAGCACTAAACTGGTGCATTATGTTTAATTTTGAAGTAAAATATTCTTTAAGATTTTATTTCATTCATAACTAAATTCTATTCTCAAAAGCTACATTTTTCACTCTTCATATATCGAAAACGTTGCTGATATGAAATTCCGGACGTTGAAAATCTCCGAAGAGAAATCGGAGGAATCTGCAGAAGGAGGAGCACCAAGCAGGGCGGAGCAAAGCGAGGCATCCTGAAAAGTCACCGTAATGTGATACCAACTATCAGAGCTAGATTTAACTAGATCAGTCATGTAACTAGATAATATTATGTACTCTGTTTTGAAAGTCGTGATGTGTAATTTTCAATATAATATGTTATATTGTGTCATGTTTTTCTCATAAAATGTAACTTTCTCAATATCTGTTAAAAATGTATAAATTTTCATTTCACTTTTCATAACTTTTGTTTTCTCTTTAATTCCTTCTCGTTCCTTTCTCGTTTCTGTTGTAGCTACATGGTAATAGGGAAATTTTTGGTGTCCATTTTCCTGAATGCATTTTAAAGTTCTAGCCTAAAAGGGCAATTTTATTGGAAGAGACTGGTTATATATTAAGTAAAAAGGTTACTCTATTTCTGTTAAGCCCAGCAGCGGCCGAGCGGTATAAAGTCACTGAACATTGGCAGTTCGATCCGAATTTCGAATCCCGCGAACGGACAGGCTGCATAGGTGTTTTCCCCATGTGTAACATGTATACGAGCCTGTTTTCCTTAGAAAGTCCTCCACGAAGGTATCCCTTTCGTTATGCAGATAGCCCTCCGGCTTTGCCGTAATTACATATACCAAACCTACTTCTGGCCGCAGGCCACTAGGTATGAATTTCTCTGCCAGAGTACTATTCCACATTAATAAATATGCGATGCCTAACCTCTAATTGTATAGGGTGTAAATAGTATTTTAGATTAAAAAAAAAAGTAGTTCCAGTGTGGCGAGGAGCACAACGAATCAGTTGACTTCTTCTCGGAGTTTACAACAAAGCCTCCACTTGGGCTTGAACTCGGGAATACTAAGAAATAAAGCTTAACTAAAACGATATAGCCGAAGCTATCAAAATTCTACAAGAGTTGGCCCCTTAACGCTAACTAAACGGCAAGGCTATGAAAGGCCTAAAGTATGGCCGAGCGTAAAAATAGCTTTAGAGAGAATATAGCCGAAAGGCGAATGAGCTCTGGTCAGAATTTCTGGCTCGAAGTCCGAAGTCAGTAGAACTAAGTTAAATACTTTCTCCTCCCTCATTTGCATTTACCGTGATTCTGAAAACACGTTCTGGAGTGAAATTTGTAAGCTGAAATTAGGAGAGATAGGAAAGTGGTTTTAACTAAAAATAACTGTTAGAAACTTAGGAGAAACCTTACACCATCAAACATGAATTTGGCTTTTTGCCCGAGTTCAAGCTATTTATCCGACGGCATAAGAAATCATTGCTTTTCCATTCTATGCTGTGCAAAAACTGTAAATACATTCGAAAATCAATCTCTCGAAATTCGATAAATCAAAATTTTTGATAGGTTGATTTGAATATAAAAATATAGAATTAAAATTAAATTCTGCATGTCTTGATAAGCAGAATTTTTTATTACTTAAAATATCTTTCTGTTTTCGTGAGATTATGCTTATCGAAGTCCTACTGTCCTTGCAAAGCTTTATTTCCAAATCGTTCTATTTACTTGAAGCATCTAACAATGTTTAAGGTTATACTTGATCTAGTGCTGCTACTTTAATCCTGTAACCTAAAAAGACATATAACGAGTTATCGGTATATCTGAGATACAAAGTCTGCACATTATTTTTAAATATTTTAAAATTCTAATAAAAGGCAAAGCTTCCTTGAAGGTAAGGTCACCTTTAATAACAGAAATGTAAATATTTCAGAGCAGAACAGCATGCAATTGAATATACTTGTTTGTAAATGTTGTAAAGGCTCGTTAAAGTTGTTCATTTCAGACTGCCATTTGGAAAAGAACAGGGAGTTTAAACTAGATCTTAGTGGTTAAAAGAATATGCCAGAGAAATTCCTTTGATATTTTACTTAAATACACTTCAGAAGATGAACGGATCAAGGACTTAATTTGCTAACTTATATACCACAATTTTCACATTTTATTCAATTCTCGTAAAATTTGCTTAACATCTCTTTAATTTTTTTGTATAAATTAAATTTATAAAAATAAAGAAACAGGTATTAATTTCAGAATT